GAAGAACATGCAGGACGATTGAGTACACATACTTATTTTCGGAACACAAGCGGTTCTCCGACTGGTTATTGAATAATGAAAAGATGCATTGTCATGCAATACAAAACATTTGGAATACGTTTTCTGACTGAAAACGTAAGATTAAAAGTCATCATCTGCTTAATTCACAGCCATTTACAAGTCAACTACTCGGGCAATTGCAGAATCGTTTTTTGATCCTGAGCTTGTAAGACAAACCTAATATCACTGGATTTAAACACTTCTTTAATCTTCCGAGAACGTTCCTTCTTTAGCTCATATTCCAAGAATATTAAGTGAATACAATTATTGCAAAAGAAATTGAATATTCATTTCTTTTGGAATATTCATTTGCACATTTAGCTTGGAAATTTACTAACGAGTTAACAAAACTTAAATTCTGCTTTTTGTGTCTAAGAATACAACAATATTTTAAATATTTACAAATAAAATATTAAATTGGAGATTTAATTGGAGCCTCACCAGTTGCCTAGCATTTGAAGATTGTTAAATACTAATTGTTTGTTGCGAAGTCTAACCCAGGCTGCATGGTTGGTTTTCGTAGTTTTCTAGGTTCTCTTTACAAAGGTTCTCTATGAAAGCATCTTAATCAAATAGCTCCCATGTTCTTTCTATGTTCAAATAACCAACTAACCTAGTTTAAGCGCGATTTCCAAGTGAAGTTACTAGCAAAACCCGAATACTCATTAAAAATCATGTAGCTTGCCAATCGGGAGTAACATGAAAATACGGCGCCAATAATTGAATTGCTGTTACGGTACGCTGTTTGTAAACTTAGATGGTCATTCCTTAATTAAATAGCCCACCAGCGGCCGAGCGGTAAAGACGCTGAACACTGGTAGTTCGGTCTGAAGTTCGAATCCCGCGAACGGGCTGGCTGCATGGGCGTTTTCGTGGTTTTCCCCATGTGTAACGTGTATACGAGCCAGTTTCCCTTAGAAAGTCCTCCACGAAGGCATCCCTCCCTTTAGGCAGATAGCCCTCGTGTGCTTTGCCATAATTAAATAATCCAATCCAATCCTTAATTAAATATAATTGATTTGTTACTTCTACTAGAGCTGACGGTAAAAATTGAAGTGCAAATAAATAATATCGTGTGCAATCTTGATTAATATAAAATTAAATATTTTGCATAGAAAAATATTTGCATTCAGACAGAAAGTTTTTTGAAATATTTGCAATTACTTTATAAGAAGGATTTATTAATAACCGTAATAATTACTTATTTTATTACTGATTAGGATTCAGTTCTTGACAATTACATTCTAAATTAGAATTTTAAGGATATAATGAAAATACGCTACGCACAAAAATACATTTTAGGATAAAAAATAAAAATTAAGGATATAATGAAAATACGCTACGCACAAAATACATTTTAGGATAAAAAATGAGTTGATTTTTTATGTGTTTTAAAACTTCTTAAATTCATTTAATAAACATCGTATCCTCGTTGTTAATTGAATCCAGAATGTTGGTGTCGTTTTATATAATTATTCTTACTTGTCCACAGAATCTGCTGACTTATCCAGCCATTAAGTAGCTGCAGATCATTTCTACATAACCATTGAACTTCCATTAATTCAGTCTCTAGAGGGTTGTATGTTTATATCATAATTTGACTTTTATAAAAATGATTATTCTAAATCTTATGTTTCTATAAAAATATACTGTGCTTTAAAAATATGGATGATAGTATCAGCCGCTCTTTCAGCCACTTCAAAAGCAACAGTTTGTTTAGAAATAAATTATGCAGTTAATGTCATAAAATATTTTCATAAAATTCAAATAAACATTAAACGAAAATTCTCAGTTTTAGACAATTCGATTTAAACGAAGTAAAGTAGCAGACGATAAAACGCCGAAGGTAAAAATTTACTCTTAGAAAAATTACTCTTATTTTTTTTTAAAAAGGAAGAAAGAGAGAAATTAAAAAAAATTAGTTAAAAATTTGAATAATATCATCTATAATTTAAAAAAATAGATTTTCATATAGTATTAATAAATATTTATTACGCCTCATTGAGGGAAAAAATTTCATATAATTAATTCTCCGTAAAATTTTACTTGAAATTTAAGGTTAAAAATAGCTGTGGCAATACAGTGTAACAAAAATCCATAGACCACATTTGGCGTTATTATCGCTCAAAAAAAAAGATGCCAAATTTCAAAAAAACGCGAAAATATGTAAATTCGTGTATATCTTAGAAAATTTTGAATAAAAAAGTCTAATTTTTTGCAGATATGCTTAAAAATACACCTACTTTATGATGATGGTAAAAATTTTATAGGTTATAATTCAAAATTTTTTTCGAAAAATTTATAAAAATTATTTAAAAATAGAAATTTAAAAAATAAAACACAAAAAATGGGTAAATTTTATTTGGAATGAACCTAAATTTCGAAATGTGAGAAAAAAAATCAAAAAAGTTTAATAATAAAAAGAGATATTAATAAATATTTGCCAAATTCAATTAACATTGAGGAGCTAAAATTTTGAGAGCTAATATTTTAAAAACTACTCGTACGATTTTTACAAAACTTGGTATTCTGGCATAATTTGAGTCGTAGAATCGAAATATGGAAAAAAATTGGTATGTTATTTCAGAAAAAGTCCGATTTTGTGTCAAAATACCTATGTTAGAATAGTGCTATATATAAATCTAATATATATCCTAAGTCGCGCTTCCGAGACATGAAAAACGCAGTTTGAATTTTGTCAATCGGCCCAGTAGAACGGGAAATATAGCACTGTCCCATTTTTTTTTTTTTTTTTTTTTTTTTTTTTTGAGCAGTGTACACAGAAATTTAACTATGACTGAATAAGTGTCTGGTAAATTAATTCGATACATGTGAAAATAAAGATTGTTGATTTGTCGGAATATAGTTTCGTCATCCTCGTCTCTTCTTGCCACTGTGCTGGGACGACTACGCATCAAAACTATCACATATATATATATATATATAAACATGTTAAAAAAGGCTTCAATACTGTTCAATAGATCCAAATCACATATTGAATGAATATTCTTTTCAACTTCGAAAATATACTTTAGCGGATCCCTCAATATCCTCTAAAACTACAGGACAAATGTTAAGAGCCACCGCTGATCATCACCGCTAGAAACCATTCGATACATTTTTAACAACATTTTTTACATTTTTACCATATATTTTTATGTTTATCGAGGCTAATGTGAAACAGCAAGGTACAACAGAAAAATAGCATTTTAAAAATAACATCCTTCAAGCCCCCCCAAAAAAGAGCTGTTAAAAATTAAAAGCGAAGCTTTTAAAATGTTCTGAAGACCACAGGTCGTATGCCTTTCCTTTGAGGGAAATAGATAAACAAGCCTACGTATATTGCTGCAAGACCTTGTTTTCAGTTATAAGAGATTTTCTAAATTCCCCAAAGTGATCAAATTCCTGGGGAAAAAACGAGAAGAACCCGCCTACGAAAATAATTGATTGAAATAGTTAATAATAAAATAATAAATCTAATCTGAAATAGTCTGAAGCGTTTTGATAAACTTAAAGGAAACGATACTTCCAAGTAAAATTTCTGGGACCCAAAATAAAAAGCTTAATAAAAATAAAGAAGACCTTTAATGGTTTAAATAATCTTCTATGATGACTCTTTTATTCAAGTTAATTAACCTAAAGAAGACATCCTGCTTAACAAGTTAAATTCCCACAGAAGAATTGCCACAAGGATTAATTGAACCCTGTTTATTTTTTGGACTTAAGGTAATTCCTAACTTCTTTCTTACTCGGTGAACAGGTTTGCTTTCCAACATATGTTAAAAAAAACCCTCGGTAATTAGACGTAGAAGAAATATTGTTCTGAACCTTTTACTGATGGGCAATCTTGATTCCTAATTATATATGTCATCATCCAGTCGGCAGTTAGAAGCAAACGAAAATCAAAAGATTTATCGTGGTCAAATACACAGTCATATGACGAACTTAGATATCACAGCTCAGGCAATAAAATATGCATTTTAAATTGTATTGTGATTTAGTCGAAATTTCTATTTTGATTAGCTTAGTACGAATTTAAATAATAGTTAGAACCAAGGAAATATATGTACACGATTTGATGATTTAAAGTATTGGGGAAAAGGAAGACAACAACATTTAACAAAGGAAGACATTAATAACCAAAAAATTGCAATAAAAATAAATGAAGAACAGTAAATATATTTTGATTTTGCTTCCATATGTAAGGATTATGTTAATTTTATTAACAGTTAAATTTTAGTTAAAGTTCCTTTCTATCGATTCTTAATTTCAACTTACCACTTCCGCCCAGAACGTAGTTTTAGAATCACGTTTGAATACATAATGAGGAAGGGCGGTATTTAACCGCGAAGTTCTTCGGTCTTAGAGACAGAGATATCAGGTATTCTGGCTGCTCGCGTCCGCCTTTTTAAGCTACTCCCTCGTAAGCTATTATCACGCTCGCCGTACTGTAGGCCCTTGATAGCTTCGCAGTCTATTAACGTTAAGGGGCCAACTCTGATAGAATATTGAGTAATCGGCTAATACACAGTTTAAAAGTACACTCTGTACATACTAGTCTTCTCTTGTCAAGCTCCAATCGACGGTCGATTAAAACCATTGAACACTGGTGTTTTTGCCTAGATTCAAATGATCTCAAACCTACTGGTCAGGCAGATAGATATCCTGAGCTTTGTCATAATCAAAATAATCTAACAGAACCTATTTTTCAATTCATAAATACATAAAGAGTGTGCAGTTATTTTTTTAAAGTCCTGAATAAAATAAATATAAAGATAAGATCAGATATGGATATGAAATAAAACTATCAGTTTATAAGATGAAAATGTTGAACATACCAAAGTAAATTACCTATAGGTACTTTACTTTGGTTTGGTACTGGTACTTTGCCTTGGTTTGGTTTGGTTTGGTTGAAGATACCAAAGTAAACAAAGCCTTACCATGTACTCCTCCCCAGAACACTGCTAACCAGGTGACGTTAGGTGCAATGCAGCAGAGAGCAGCTCCTGCAGAAGCAACCACTCCACCCCAAAATGTAACCATTCTAATTCCATATCTCTGACCAATTACTCCGACCAGCGGGCCTAAAAATCGACACAGAATAACAGTATGTTTGAAAATTTAAAATATATTAAAAAATGAAATAATTCAGAAATACATAAATAGTGTTCATAAACATATATAAAGTTCTAAAAGTTCTGAACTGTTGATGTTTAACAAAATTTTTCTTTTAAAAGATATTGTAATCAAAATCTCATCAATGAAAATTTAAGATGCAGGCACTTTCTGAAAAACCAACGGAATGGTTAACAATGTTCTTGCTTTACGTATTCTTATTTTGCCCAATAAACAGAGAAAAAGCCTGGAGAAATGTTTTTGCTTTCGCAATATTTTCTTGCATAATTTTTCCATAAATATTCAATGCATTGAATTTCTATAGGTATGAAGCTCTTTTAATTTACAGTTTTGCTAATCTTATTTCTGCAGTTTTATGCAAAAGAAGTGCATAATTTTTCGATAAATATTCAATGCATTGGATTTCGATAGATATGAAGCTTTTTACTTCCTTGTACGAAGTAAAAAGGAAGTATTGTAATCGCGAAAAGGTTCAGGCAGCATATTTCAACGAAAATATCCATTTTGTCCGCTATAGAATGCAATTTAACGATGTTTTTGCGTGACATCTGTACGTAAGGACAGAATAAAAGACTCTTTTCCTCCACAAAAATTATAAATGCTGCTTTAAAATGAATTATGAAGAGAATTTTTCGTGGCGTCTGTACGAACGTATGTACGTACGTACGTGCGTATCTCGCATAACTCAAAAGCGAGTAGCCTCAGAATGTTGAAATTTTGAACGTATATAGGACTACTATAACATGTAGGACTGCTATAAAATGTAGATGTGCACCTCGTATTTTAGTTGCAATCGGCCGCACCAAACGTATATAAATATATTTATATGCATTCTTATTCGGCTAAGTGATCTCAGTTTCTTTACTCTTATATGTTAGTAAATTGTACATTTTTTTGCTTTAAAAATGATTGAATTATGTTGTTCTTATCTTTCGGTTAAGGGTTTTATGCCTTTCGTAAATCTGGAAGAAATATTTGTACAATTATCAACAATTTAAAAGCTGTTTAAGTGCGGTTAAGTTTTAAATAACATGGCGGACATATTTGTTTACATTTGAAACAGCAGAATAGTAGATTTGTTGCCAATCGAGAGAGACTAAGCCTCGCAACAACAAAGATAATGCCTTCATTTATTACTGCGAATTAAATCATGCTTAATCCTTTCCAGAATTTTTTCGAGGAAATAAGTGTTTAAGATTTACTTTGTAATTTTTAATACAGATATTTTGAGTTTTTATGTAATTTTGCCTTGTCGCGAAGTGAGAACTGAATTAATTGAATGAGAAATACTGAATCGTCTGCGAAAAACTGTTTCATTTTTGTTTTGTTTGCTTAATTTCTTTTATATATCGTTCTAGCTTTATTATAGTATTTGAATAGAAAATGAGGCAACGATTAGATAATTCTTCAAATGATATAAATTTTGTGCATTCTGAGTTATAATATGAACGAAATATTAAGTGAACCTAGCGCCAGAGTGTCGCTATGGTAAATAAATATAATGAATCTTAAAGAGTGCATTTATTCTATTGTGGTTTATGCGCTGTCGACGAAGTAGATTTAATTCCATCCAATAAGTTTAAATGAAATGCATGAAAATTGCGTATAATTTAATATTCCGTGCAAGGAAGTCATGTGGTGTACACATCAGATTTTTTAATTTACAGTTTTGCTAATCTTATTTCTGCAGTTTTATGCAAAAGAAGTGCTAGTTTCAAAATGTAAAAACAAAATCAGTTACAGATATCCAGTTACAGATATATATATATAATATTTATTTAAAAAATTCATAATGTATTCAATGGGGCGGCCACCCATTCCGAATAAACTCAGCCTCTGTGGAGACTATCCTGAAACACCTTGCAAAAGCCAAAGACCAGGATCTCTGAATGGTGTCCAACTTCATCTTCAACCTGATCAACTTGCTCGCTCTATACCCCCAAGCTCCAGTATCATACATAATAATAGGTAATGTCACCATTTTGGTAAATCTTCCCAAGGGTAGTAGTTTTCATACCCAGGACGTCTGCGGAAAATGTTCTTTTATAATTTAAGAGAACTGAAACAGTTCTACGTCGAATACGTTGAATTTCTCTAAAGTGCTTAACAAAGTTCGATTTATATCCACGATGACGCCTAGGTATCTCAAATCGTCCCCAAAATTCTTTTGTCTCCAAACTTTAATTGCCGAGTTCCTTTTTTTATCCACCTCTGGGAAAGAATAAAGCATTAGTCTTTTCAAAATTAAATCTTAATTTTTCTAGACTTTGCCAATTTCCTAGGAATACTACAAATTTCATCATATGTCTTTTCGATTTCTTCTAAAAAATCATGTTTTATTAGAACAACAATATTATCAGCATAAGCAATAATTTTTGAGTTATGCGGAATATCATTTTGCAATAGCTTGTCAATAACAATATTCCAGAACAGGGGAGCGCTGCAGGAGTCCTGCGGCAATTGCCGATATATATTATATTGCAAATAGTCTCCTTGTTTGTATCATTGAAATAATTAAACATAATGTTTCTATCAGTAAAATAGTTTTTAAGCAAGTAAAGCAGGTTTTTAGGAATTTTCAAATCTATCAGTCTATTGAGTAATGAAATTCAGTCGACCGAATCAAATGCTGCCGAAATGTTTAATGATATCAAAACCACAATTTGGTCTTTCCTAATAAAATTAATAACATCAAACAACACATCATCCGTGCTCTTTCCAAATGTGAAACCGTATTAACTTTCGTTAAAAAGACAATTTTTAACTATATGATGTATCAACCTATTAATAATCAACTTATAAAAAACATTTTCAAATAAGCATAACAGCGTAATGACTTTTCAGGGATGAGTTTAACAGCGACTACTATCAACCACCGGCATATATCTCCATTAACAATTTTTAGCTGAATAGTAAAGGGTACTTATTATCCAATACAGATGGAACCACGAGACCGGCAGGTCTTGTGATATCGCAACATTTGAACGTCATCAATTTATTATTTAAAACTCCTCCCTCAATACTGAAATATACTAATAATTATTAAAAAATTCTCAAAGTATTTATAATAATAATCCTTACAAAACACGCACAGATACGTGACATGGCATGCGAAAAGGCGTTCACGCGTGCTATTTGCGCATTCTGGACATCACTGCATGTATGGGCTTACGATCACAATTTTAAACAGGTCTACGCATTACTGATGACATAATGTAGGTTAGTTTTCCATTGACGCAGTTAAGAAAATATTATTACATTATTACAATAGCGAGGGATGTATCCAAATCAAAAATGAGGAATTAAGGAGTTATTGTTAATTATAATTTATATTTACATATTTTTCTCCTACATATATACTATATTTTTTATGAACGTTTACTGTCGAGAAGGTTTTACTTTATTTACAACAAAGAAAATTGATGCGTTTTACCATAATACAAATTAATACGATTAATACATTTGATGAATATGTGAAACTATTTAGATATTGTATTAAATATGTATATTTCATGAAAGAATTATAAGAGAAGGACCGTAACGGAAATTACATAAATAATATTCATGTCAACAATTTCAGCTTTCATATGATATTTCGGAAAAATATGATGACTAACCCTAAATATTTAACACTTCTTTTGGTACTTAAAGAGGAAACAAATTGAAGAACTTTAAATCGGTTTAAGCTAATAACTAATTTACTCTAATTATTTACATTAATATTTTACTGTAAATTCTTATTTAACAAAGCATACGTTTTATTTATACACTCAATAATTTTATATTTAAGCGTAATTTTATTTCTTTTTAGATATTAACGTGTTGGAGATGAAAATAACGTCGCCTAGTTAATCATAAATATCCTTGATATAAAATTTAATGTTTCATACTTTTGATTCCTTTTAAAAGTGCACTCAATATTTCAAGTTTAAAATTTAATGTTTCATACTTTTGATTCCTTTTAAAAGTGCACTCAATATTTTATACAGTAATATTTCTCGTCATTTTCTAACGGCTTAATTCGTCTCCTCTAAAAAAGGGGTTGCGATCATTAAGCCTTTAAAAAGGGGACAGACAAAGTTCCAATAGCCCATTAAGTCTCCAAATTAATTTAGTTTTTTCCCGTTGCTAACCCAAAAACAGAAAATATTCATAATAAATCTCTCTAAACGGCATCATTACAAAATTGATACGTATTACAAGGATCTTATATAAGAAGATGCAAGCATTTATGTAGATAATGATGCAAGCATTTATGTAGATAATGATGCAAGCATTTATTTATTTATGTATTATTATGTATGATTTTTAGTAGTGTAGACGTTTAAAGCAAAGTCCTTCAAACCCTACCAGATTCAAAAGCGAGTTATTGTTTTAAGTCTGAATCAAGGTGACGAAGTCTTAGAAAAGAGAAATTAACGTTTCTGTTAAATCTTGAAATTTAACAGAAGTCACTATTTGGGCTTCAGAATTGCAAACGAGGTTGCCAGAAGCTCTAAAGCATTCAAACCCTCGGTTTAAATTCTCTAGTAACTAATTGCATTCTGGTGACGACTATGGAAAGAAGGAGATATAGTAAAATTTCAAATCATAATAATTGGTTAATTAACATAAAACCGATATTTACGAAACTCTTCAGCCAATAACAACGTTAAAATTTTTTGACTGAAACCTTTCGCAACCAGTTGGTGCAAACCAACCCAAAATAATTTTTTACCTTAATATAAATTTTAACGAATAAAGGCACACTTTCCTCTTTGTTTCTCTGCCTCAGGTAGGTCCGTATGTAGAATTTTTCTTTTTTTAATTGCTGAAATAATGGAGGATGTGTTCAACTAACTGTTCAAGAACGATTCTATGGCTTTCGCCGGCTAGTACGCTTGTCTCCAGAGTTGTTTCTTTACGTAATAAAATGTATTCAGCTGGCCACAACTACAGTAATCTCATTACGATCTAATTTCATCTTTAGCATCTACGTCATCATAAAAAATTATTCCATTACTTATATAAATAGCGTACTATGTATAAAATTTATTAAATGATTACTTAAGTTTTACATTAAAAGAAAACACAACTTAATTATTTAGCTTTACCTTGAAATGCGGTATTTTCAAGATTTATTTACATATCTTTGAGAGGAATTTCAACATACATGTTGCGCAGTGATTGCAAAACTTTCGTAAATTTATAGCGATTACCGGGATTTCGAGCTATTTTACAGTTTCATGCAATTTTAAGACTCAGTAGAAAGATTATTTTAACCTTTGTAAGGCTTGATCAGTTTGATTTTCTAAGGTATTTACATAATTATAGCGACTTTAAAAAACGAAAACTAAAAGGAAGCAAAGAGACTAACAAGGTCAAATTTAATTAAGTTATTTAATTAATATAGTTAATTAATTAGTTATTTAATTAAAAATTTAATTAATCTATTTTTCCAAAAATATTTATGAAAAGCAAACATAAGCATATTCAGAGGAATTCATTCAACTGGCCACAAGAAAAAGAATTGTCTGTCGAGAATAAATTATAACTAGCTATAAATAAAAATTTGCCACACAAACAATAATACAGAAGTAATCATAAAATAGATTTACCCAAAACCGTCAAATGAGAATGATATCAAATGAAGGACTTCGAGGTAATCATTTAGAGGAAGCATATCGTTCATTATTAACAGTACCACTAACTAGCGTGCACTCAGAAAGTGCATTGTCAGCTGTAGGTAAATTGGGCACAAAGTAGGTTCCAGGCTTAGTGACTGTTGAATAAATTTATTATCTTCTCACGATCACATTTAAAAAATATGCAGTTAATAAATTAGCTGTTTTCTTTTCTATTAATAGATATTATATAAACAGACAAGCGATAGAGAACATTTCTAAAGATGTGGGTCAACTTTTGTTCATTATGTTTTTTTAAATACTAGTGCGGGGGTCACTATGTCAGGTGGCACGTGAAATAAATATGTATCAGACATAGATTCACTGAATTATACTAGTGAATTAACGTCTGGTACGTATTTATATAATACATTGAATCGGTAGTGGCGCTACTTGAAACGGAAGAAAAAGGGTACCAATAATTTAGAAACACCGAAAATTTGTTCTCAGAAAAACCTGACAGTTGGCCCTTTCTTTTTTTTTGCTCTCATTATGAAGAATTCTTCATTAATAAACATAGTTACAGATAGAGGTGGTTATCAAAATAATGGAAACACCCTAGATTTACACGAAATACTTTACTAATGTGGCGTAGGATTGCCTTTGGCAAGTAATACAACTTAGATTCCGCTAGGAATGGAATCGTAATATGTTCTATGCATAATGTTTTTACACGTTTCTAACTTTGAGCAAAGGTTTAAAAAAATGTAAAGATTTCCATTCGATTCATGTCGCAAAGTTTTAAAACTGCTAATATAAATTAAAATGAAAATCGACGTCATTAAAGATTTATCAGACGCGTAATAATTATTAACTTAGCTAATATTAAAAACATAGTCCTTGATTTAAATTCAGTATATTTGATTCATTTTACTCCAGTGAAACATTCTCTAAAATAATTACAGTTTTAATTTAAAAAAAAAAAAAGTTTACTGGATACTTTACAAACAGTTTTTACAAGAATAAGAAATCAGAAAATAATTAAATCTTACTTCCTCAAAACCTTTTTACCGTTAACAGATCGTTGTAATCTATGCATTTGCAGCATTTCATTCACGCGAACGTTAGATGCGCCGCATCAGACAACTTTTCAGGCTCCCGCACATTTAAAAGTGGAGGCATGTGGTCTGTAATGAATCATCGGAGGAGACGCGAGATGTGCGACTTGAACGCTGAAAGCTAAATGATAGTAAATAAGTTGGCCAATGTCCCACTTGGAAATATATAAATATATTTTTTTATAAAAGCTGTAAAAGGCTTTATATGAGAGACTGCAGTGTGTAAGCTTTCACCTTCACCAGTAAAACACCTTAAAAAGCGTAGGATCGTCTTACATGCGAGTTTGTAATATTACTTAGACAAATAGGGTAGTTTCATTTTTATTTACCATTGCAGTTTTTATTTACATTAACTTTTCAAGGTTTAACGGTTTGAAGTCTATGTTCAAGTTCACATTTTAAAAAACTGAGGAAATGATGCGAATTTTATTTTGGAAAAAAAATAATGTTAATTAAACAGACGATCAATTACAAAAGAGTAATTTAGATAGAAAATAGATTACATACTTACCTGATAAAGAGCGGATTGAGTTTCGGACGGTAAAGGGTATAGTTGCTTCTTGCCTTGTTACTCCATATGTTTCTATCACAGCTACATACAAAATCCCAATAATCCTGGACAATCCAGATAAAATCATATTAATTATACAAGCTGCGAAAGCAATTACCCATGCCCGACCTCTGTCAGGTAGTTCGAGTTCAGCCATTTCCTCAAGTATAGTTAGTTACTTTTTCATGGAAGACGTCCAAACCGAAAATATACCAGTGCAAGATGCATGCGTAGACCTCTCAAGATCACTTTCCTAACATTGCATTATAACACAAATGCGCGAAGAAGGAAATGGATTCATCAGTAAAGCATTGTACTTATTTTTGCATAAGCATTAGTGGCGACAAGTGAAGGTTAAGAGCAGGGAAGAACAATATGAGATCGTAAATTAAAATGTGATCCTTTATGAAAGGATTTTACCTAGTACACTCATCCGATAACGTATGAAAAAGATCAAGTGTATCATCCCAGTCGCTTTTCTCCTATGAAGGCCAGCGAAGCCGAAAGTTTCTACTGGTAAACTACAAACAGTAAAGTTGCTCTTGTCATAATTAAATGATATTTATTACGAAATAGCTTCCTCTTGCAAACTTCTGGCCCTTCTTCTAGGTCATTGGCCATTGTCGAAAGAAGAAATAATTGAGAGAAGAGTTTTATTCAGGAAGTGACAGCTGCTAAAGATAAACATCTTTTCGTTTTAGTAGAATGTGTTTAGTTAACTAATAGATGCTGGAAGCAATTCTTCCTTGTGAAGATGCTTATTATACGAAAGAAAGATAAGCAAAAATTAAATGCTCGTGATTTATTTTCAGCCAATTAAAATGTAAAAAGAGAGAGCGAATATAATCATCATGAAAACTGTATTACAGCAGTTGAAAAAAGATTTCACAAAATATAAATAAACGAATGAATATAAATAAAAATAAAATCCTGGCGTAAAAACAAATTAAAAAAAACATCTTAGTAATAATTGTTGAACTGCTATCTAATATGTGAAAGAAGATTATCATTAAAATGTTTTAAAGATTTAGGAATAATTCGCTAAATGTATGTTGCGTCTTTTTATTGCCACTACCTGTACTGTAAATAAAACAAAAACTTAGAAAAAAAAATCATTCTTTAAAATTCCAGTTTTTGAAATAAAAATTCTTTCTCGGGTTTTGGTTCCTCAATTTTTTCTTGGAATGTAAAATATTATCATTAAAAAAAATCTTAAGAATGTTTAAAAGATATTGTATGGCTCTACGGAATTCTAATTAAAAATGATAAATTAGAGACTAGAAAGTAGAAAAAAATGTACATCGCTTGAATGGCAACGGCGAATAATACCCCATACATTTTGATTTTAATGCAGCCAATTCATTTTGCAATTTTGTTGCGTTGAAGATAAAAATGGCATTAATGTTGTATTGTAAAATGAAGAGAGGATTTTCTTTTGCGATGTAATTAATAACTGTGCGTAAAGTATTTATAATACATTATTTATGACTTTTATAACACATTTTCTTGCAACATCCATACCTCTCCATATTAATTATTAACCCAGTTCCAAACACATCATTGTTTTTAAATCTTAAACATTCCTCAGGCAAACAAATAAAGTGCAGAACATGCAGGCTTCCAAATGATCATTTTTTAGATTTCCTAGGATATCAATCCACTTTTAAGTAATTAAAGTAGGTTTCCTTTATACTAACATAAATATTTAACTCAATGCTTGGTTTACTATTCAGTAACGTAAGAATAATTTAAGTAATATATAAGAGTATTCTATTAACAAGTGAATGTACGACTCGAAGCGTATCTGACACAGTTAAAAAATAATTTACATTTACATAATTAATTACTTAATTGATTCATTTGATCAGTCTTAAGCTTTAAATATTTTTAAACATTATTGTCTATAACTCAAAGAAATTAATGCTTACTTACAGGAGTCAATTTTATATCTCTCAGACATGTCTGGGTAAATTACATTTGTTAAAGTTTCATAAATTATGTCTTGAAAGGCAGTGAGATTATACGTTTCATTAAACAGTAGATTTCAGATTATAAGGATGTCCACCAACGATCGAAAATAATATCGCTGAACACTAGTAATGAAGGACCTCACGCGAGAAGAAAAGAATGTTATATTTGTGGAAACACTATCAACACATCGCAAGAGATTGCCCAGACAAAAGAAGAAAGAACGAAACTGCAGTAAATAAGAAGGGAAAGGATGATTCCAAAACTAAAAATATTTCAAACAGAACATCAAAAGAAGAAGCCATCGTAGCTAGACTCATCCCATCTACGATACGAATTCATAGAACACATCGTTCAACCATTGCAAAAAGTAGATGTTTTTATTAACTATGAGAAAATCGAAGCTACCGTAGACTCTGGAAAACTGATAACGATCGTACATTCATCGCTCATTCCAAATTTAGAGGAGAGAGAAGGAAGTAAAATATTGCTAACACCTGCTTTCGGACAACCAATTGAAGCAAAAGTTTGCCGTGTACCCTATTTCCCATAAAGATCATGGAAGCAATATATTTAATTTTGTGGACACATTAATTGCAGTGACTGATAAGCTAAATATGCCTTGCGTAATAACTAGAAATACCCGAACTGTTGATTAATCCTACGGCAGATGAATCAAGCGCAGAAAGAAATAATTACGGAGGTGAAAACTTACAAAGTTTATTCGCCAATACGCAGTCAAACGGCAGCGTCGAGTTCCCCCCCCCCGCTAATGCCTTTGGAGGAGAAAAACGAGAAGAAGGCGAGTGTTTACGTAAACGCAGACGTGTCGTCTGCTGAACACCTACGCGAAGAGCAAGCTAACTGTCTCTCGCTGAGAGAAGCATGGAAGCTAGCTGTAGAAGAAAAAGGAAATTATTTATTTATTGAATTCATCTGTTACATCACCAAGAAAAAAATATTAGGACAGACTATTTTTCAGTTAGTGCTTCCGCTTAGTAGAAGAGCACAAAGTGTTAGAATTAGCACATAGTTCCATTTTCGGTGCCCATCTTGGAATACAACAACAACAAACTCTTATAACCGCTCCTGCTACTGAAAGCAATGCGGTGTTTGTAAACTATTCTAATTGTACAAAACGATGTTAAAGTGTAACGATTGGAATCACGTTTCTAACCACTCCATCTCACCCTGATTAGGCAGAGGAGACAGGTGCTAACTACCAAAGTCGGCAAAACCAATAGCTAAAACTGGCAAAGCACTCAACTAAGCAAAAGAGCTTAAAAAAAAAAAAAAAAGTGCCAGCGGCTAATAGAGCAGGGGGTGGCCTTCGGCAAAGGAAGAAACAAAAAGCCAAAAATTAGTTAAGGGGAGAGTTATTACGGCTAAAAAGAAGGGGAACAGGCGAAATGAAACAAAGCCTATCGACTAAGGAAAACAAAGGAGAGAGTACGTATTCGTATTTTTTTTTTTTCCTGGATTAGCACAAGATGTCGAAACCTTTTGTAAAACGTGCAAAGATTGTCAGTTGAAGAGTCCAGAAAAGCGATCGGACAAGATTCCCATCACACCGGTCAGAAGGCCAGGATTACCTTTTGAAGCAGTTAACATCAACGCTATTGGAACCTATTGAACTTCCTTCTGCTAGGAAACATAAATACGTGTTATGCCTGGTAGATCAGCATTCCCGATGGCCAGAAGCCATTCCACTAAGAAGCTTGACAGCAAAAGCCACTTGCGACGCACCTTTGGAGATTTTCATGAGAACAGGAATCCCTAATACAATAACTAGTGACAACGGAAGTAACTTTGTTTCAAAATTAACTAAAGAATTCCAGAAAAGACTAGGTTCTCACCCTAGGTTCTCTACACCTGCTTACAGTGCTTCAAATGGAATTAGTAGAAAGATGGAACAAGTCCCTTCAAGCAAATGTTACATCATGTCATCAGGACTGATCCTTCGAATTGGGATAAGCACATCCCCATACCTGCTCTTTGCGCATACAGAGAAGTACCAAACTGCACCACGGGTGTCTCACCATTTTCAGCTGGTGTACGGAAGACAACCGAAGAGGTCCTTTAGCAGTACTGAAGTCTTCATGGTCAAGAGAAATACCATATACCACCTAATCTAAGTGAATCGGCAGGGGATTACTTACAGCATTTAAAAATAAAGTTAGAACAAGCAGCTGAACAAGCCAATTTAACTGCAAGTGATAAACAACAAAAATATGCTGAGTACTTTAATCGGAGATCAATACCAAAAAATTTCAAAATCGGGGAACAAGTTTATTTACTCATCCAAGATTCAAATAGCAAACTCTATGCACTTTGGACTGGGCAGGAGAAATCGTGAATCATTGCTCACCTCATTCCTATAAAATAAAACTACCTGATGGAAAGATCAAACATGTTCATGCAAATAAAATTGGAAAATTTCAAGTTGGAATTGTTGTTGTTGGAATTTCCAAGTTGGAATTCCAACTGCATACTGCGTCAATGCAGTTGGAGTGACATTTGAAGATGAAGAATTTGGAGAAATTATAACTTTGCCAGGAAAAGATCTTTCGATCCCCATGGAAGATTTTAGAATAGATGCGAATCTGAATTTAGAAAATTTAAATCCGCAGCTAAAAAGAAAATTGATAGCTCTTATCAATAAACATCGAACACTATTCACCGGAAAACTGAAAATAGCTAACGTTGAAGCTCATAAAATTAGATTCATACCCAATATGGAGTAGAAGAAACTTTACATTTATAG